CCTTGTAAGTCAAAGTAGTTATAATTTTATTTCATTATTAAAAATTGTAATCTTTCAAGACAATTATTTTTTAAGAATTCAACACATTAGACTAAAAATTTCTTTTATGCTATTAAAAAGTAAAACGACTTGCAATACATATATACGTTTTAGGATTATTATTAAAATAAAAATTCTTTGTTAAAGATTACTTCCTAAAAGAAGGAATATTAATAAATTTCGCTCGTTTTTTGCAATGTAAATTAAAATAAATAAACGGTTTATATCGAGCTAAATGTTCTTAAATTTTGAAACGTACGAAACTTTAATTAGATTTAAAAAATTTTTTTTAATCTAATTAAAGTTTCGTACGTTTCGGAACTCACAGGTTCTTCTTCAGCGATTTTTATAGATGTTTGTGTCGTTGGATTGATATATTTTCTTATGATCAGCATGCCTTTATCGCAACATCACATATTATAAGTTCCGAAACGTATTTAGTTACATTTTTTATCCATTTAAGAACTCCATTCAAAGAACTCTTCTAATATATTTTATATAATTAAAAGCAATTCTTATAGTTATATAATATTAAAGTGATTTTTTTATATTTACGTTAATTTATGTAGAAGGTTTGTTGAATTAAATTCAATAAATGTGTCAAGTTTTAATAAAATAGATGTAGTTTAACGCGTCGAAGAGACTGCCATTGTAGTTGGAAAATATATTTTGATAAGTCGTAATATAAACTGTCTTCATTATCGTTATATGTTTAGTTCTCTCATATCATCAAGTATGTTCAAATAAGATCTGTCCACACGTGCAGATAAAGGCAACGTAACGATAGCTATGGAAATGTCTTTTTATAAACAAAAAGTACAGGAGCTCTTCAATGACAAGGACACATATTCGATAGTTAAGAAAAATCCGAATCTACAGATTGAAAGACAACTCAATAATATATTAAAAAATTAGCATAGAAAAGAATTTATCTCTGACAAAGAATTTTGTAGTCTTAGATCTAGTGACTCAAACCCTACCAAAAACCCTACCAAAAATGGATTACCCAAGATACACAAAGTTGATACACCTTTTAGGATCATTGTTTCTTCTTTAAATACTTTCTTATAGATTTTCATAAAACATTATTTCTCTGAAAGGATTCCCTCTGCAAAAAGTCAAATAAAAAATAGTTTTGAGTTTTATATAAAATGTTAGCTGGAATGACAATAGATACATCTGAAACAATGTTCTCCTTGGATGTGTGTCCCCCTCATCTCACCGCCTCGTGCGCAGATCAAATGTCGCTCGAGCATCGTGCGCATTTGGACCGCGCGCGGTGAGGTGAGGGGGAGGACAGCGGAAGGCGGAGGCGATTCGAAAATCGGCCGAAAGTTGCATAAACTTTATGTATGTTCACTTTGTACTGGCACCTTTATTAATATTGTAATATATCAAATTGTAACATATGATATTGTAACATATCATGCAATTTTAGATATGGAACCGTCTTATAAGAAAAGATTGATATCCGAAATGGTTCATATAAAGAAACAAACACATGGCATAAATAAACAAAATGATACCGAGTCATTACCAGATTGTTATACTAACATGATACATTCTCTTTCCACCTCTTAATTTTCCCTTCCTCTGTCCTTTCCTGAGGTCTCTGCCTACTCATTTCTTATTTTTATTTCAAGTAGAACAGTCGATTTTTATAACTGTAAATTAGACTATTTTATTTAATTTCAATAATGGATCTAAACTGGATTTTTATACTGGACTATACATTTTTTATTACATTTCTGTTAAGGTAACAATATATACAATTTACTTCTTCATAATTAAGTTTTTAAATTTATATACTTTTTTGTCAATAGATTTATATAACTCATGCGAAACTAATCACAAAGGAAGATCCATATTCAATTATACACATTTAATTTTATATTTGTGACTCGTTAATTTTATTATAATTATACACATGTAATTTTATTTTTGTTGATTCGTTAATTCTATTATACACACTTAATTTTAAATTTAACATTGAAAATGACCCGATCGGTGTCGAAACGTATGTGCGAATTCTTACTTGCGAATTTTACTCTGTTTAATGTATTGCGATTTTGAGTTAATTACATTTATATATCTTTTTTAAAAAAATTATTGGCTCTTTTCTCTTATTTTTAATCAATTTGTTGTGTAATACATCAGTTACTTTTCATATATTAATGTAATATATTATTATTAGATAAAAAGATTTAAATTTTTGAGTATCCTTTTTTGAACATGCCTTGAACTTTTCATTTTTATAATATGATTTTTATTATATCGCTATATAATGTTAACTCGACGAATTAATATTATGTCGCGACATAATAAAAATTTCGTATTTCTATTATGTTCCGATATAATTCTAATTAATGCAAATATTATTATGTTACGACATAATTTTTATTATTAAAAATCGCAATTTTTTAAGACAATTATTTTTTAAGAATTCAACACATTAGACTAAATTTCTTTTGTGCTATTAAAAAGTAAAATGGCTTGCTATAAGTAAAATGTACATTTGAGGGTGACGTTATGTGGAGCAAAAATTACAATGGAACAATCTTAATCAAAATTCTGCAATTATTATTCTGCTTTCTTTTCTGCGATTGTGATTGGTCTCACGTACTGTTCCGTTCTGATGTAATTTTTGTTCCGGTGTAATTTCCGTTCCGTGTGACGTCACCCTATTATCAAAATAAAAATTCTTTGTTAAAGATTTATACTTTCTAAAAGAAGAAATATTAAGTAACTGCTTTGACTTAGTGTGTGTGTAGAATTGCTACTTTTCGGTGCGCACGTTCACACACACAAAAAATGCACGCAAACAATTTTTTTATTAAATAATTTCATTATGATACAAATAGTCAGGAAATAATTCACAATTTAGAACGCGCAGATTAGTACGACGAATCGCTCTAGAGCGAACTAAACAGTGTTCTTGGAAAGAGTTCTCAACCGTATTTCCCAATTTTCGTAACTGAGATGTTAATTTCTAAAAGCTCCGAATATCCGTCATCGATAGGTTGGCGCGCGAGGAATGGAGTCTGCCTGACAAACGCTCCGCGACGCGCACATTGCCGCGATCTTCTAAACGTCATGCACAGATGTCTATACTATACTAGATCGCTAACACAGCCGAAAGAGCTGAGACCGGCCGGATCTCCGGTTTCGGCCATGATGGGAACAACAAGATGGCGAGGTACGTGTGTAGTAGTGCGTATATGAGTATCCTGCGTGTGTGTTAGTGCGTATGTGTGACATCAGCCGGCAGCCACACGTGACGCGTGTGTTCCCGGTGTCATTCTTCTTTGGAACAAAGTCTCCTCCGATGGCATTGATCCAAATTTGTAATATATCTGGACGTGTAAATGGTAATCTGAAAAATTAACAATGCTTAATTGAAACATAACCTTCTCATATCATGAACCTCGAATATTTTTATATTTATTACACATAAATACTTTCTACTTACTTAAAGAAATGAATACCTTGTTTTCGTGTATTTTTGCATTTAGAAATGCAACAATTTTTCGGCATTTTTACTTTCTTTTACTAATATATATGTAGAAAAATCGACACACGTGTGGCCATCGGAGGAGACTTTGTTCCAAAGAAGAATGATTTAATCTGTAGTGCCCATTTTGTATATACAAATTTCTTGGAAAGACCAGGCGCAAGTGATGTGCGTTTAAAAAATTTGGCTGTGCCGTCGGTATTTCTGGCTGCCGGCTGATGTCACACATACGCACTAACACACACGCAGGATACTCATATACGCACTACTACACACGCACCGTCGCCATCTTTTTGTTCCCATCATGGCCGAAACCGGAGATCCGGCCGGCTTCAGTCCTTTCGACTATTTTTGACGAAGTTAGCGATCTAGTATAGTATAGACATCTGTGACGTCATGACTCGGCACAGTATAAGTAAGTACAATAGTTTCACTCCGTGTCGGTACCTTTGATCTATGTGTCCTACAGTCAGCCATGTTGTTGGTTGTGCGAGGCCTTTGTTTTCACTACACACATCGACACCATAGTGACACACAGTGACACAGTATCCATACGTGACATCGACGCCATGATGAAAGTGGTGCGATTCGCGCACCCATAAATTTTGGAGAGTGAAACTACTGTACTTACCAATACTATGACTCGGGTAGCGCGCTTGACGCGCGTTGCCATACTGTGGCCATGCCATCACCGCTCTCCATGGCCCGCACGCCGAGCTATCAATGGGCAAACATACATTCGGTTAAGTTCTGATGAACCACTCGGCAGAGGCGGACGCGTTTCTGTCGGGTGCTTTCTACTGTATATTTTTGAAAGTGTTGCCGACTTTGACCGTGCATTGTTTTGTCCTTTTTGTTCGTTTTTATAATTTTTTCGTACGATTTTCATTATAAACGATTTTCATTTAAGACGTGATCTGGCAGTATCGCCTTCCCATTATTTGGGAGGCGTGGTGCCATAAGTTTGAATTACTCGATGCGTGTCCGCGGTTGTGCTCGTCTTGATTGCTCGTCATCTTGCACCCTTCGACGACTCGGGCTCTCATGACGCGCGTTGTTGCGACGTGACGACGTCGTAGACGCAGGCGTCCAGATACCGGTCGAGCAACGCCATTCTCGCGGGCATTGCATCATCCGCTCGACAGACATTTTGATGCGATATTCATTTTTTGACGTGATCTGGCCGTATCGACCTACCTATTGTTTGGAGGCGAGAGCCATTAAATAAATAAGAAGAAGAAGAAGATACATTCGGTTACAATAGTAGTCCGGGCGGACGCGCGTATTCGGTAATCTTTAGACATTAATATTTCGTTAACTATTGCGAAAATTGTAAAATGGTACAGGTACTTGCCGTCTCAGTTTAGTTCGCTCTACCTGTCCACGATATTCGTTAGATGAATTGTGTCGACTGTATACTTTATATTTTAACATATATATCTACTTGCAGACGAAGATGTTTAGTGATGGCAGAAACGCGGTGTTATGAAGCTATAATTAAAGTCAATTCGAAAGAAACAAACGAAGCGTTGAATGAAGATGAGGAAATAATTATTGATGAAGATTAGACGTTGCATTTTTTTACGAATATTTTTTATATTCGTCCCTTAGCACAATTCCCCCTTTTTCTCTTTAATGATTTTACTAGAAAATAAAAATGTTAATATTTTAAAATTGGTTACTTTAATTATATAAAAATGATGTTAATTAAATACTAGAATAAAATTAATAAAATAAAATTTGAAAGAAAATAAAATGAAATTATATAATCAAGTACCAATGGTTATAATGGCTGCGTTCAGCAAAAGGTGCGTTCCTCGCATGATGCGCATAATGTATCATGCATTGTCTTTGTTTAACATTTGATGAACAAAGATAAAGGATACATTATACGTGAAACGGAATGCAACCAAAGAAAACTGATCAGTAAACGCTTAGTAATTTTTTAATATGATTGGTTCTTATCTTTAATTCTTCACTATACTACAAGTATACAAACCAATTATATTAAAGAATCATTAATAAATGCAGGGCTGCCAGTAAGTCACTTTTGCCACTTTTTTCACTTTTTTTTAAAGGTTACTTTTTCAAATTTGGTCACTTTTTCCCTTTTTTGACATTTGTAAACTGAAAAAGTTACATACAATCTAATTGCTCCTACACACTGGACATGGAAAGGCCTACCGCGTGGCAGGATGTGACGCGGTAACCAATAGACATGTTATGGCTCCGGCATGCGACATGCAATATCTAGTGAGAGTATACCTTATTTAGAATGAGAATATCGGTAAAGCTGTACACTTGGATATCGTGTGTCACGCGCAACGAACATCGCGCTGGTGTACCAGAGGCATTACCCGATGAGAACACATACGTAGATTCGACGTAGATTCAACGTGGGTTAGCACGTAGATTCTACGTAAACGATCGAGTGACAGTCTACTCAAAAACGGTACCAAAATCCACGTGGAAATCGAATCGATATTCCTTGTAATATCCACTACTAGTGCAATAATAATGCAATAATAAATTCGTAATAGTAACACTATACTATAATATACCCGTGTAGAAGTCTTAGAATAAAATCGTGAAAAAAAAATTTTCCTCTAAATTCGAGAGTTAAATTTTTTTTCATGATGTCACCCATCCGAAGTTGTACCACGAACCTTGCTACTTAACCTTGACAATCGTACGGGAACTGCTGTACTTCGATAACCCACGAATCTGTATGTCAACGTTTGTATAATTGTGATATATCTGTTCAATGGAAATATTAAAAACAAATAATTTATGTGATAGAGTATGTTTTAGGAAAACAGAATAGAATCCCTTTAGTGTTCCTTCTTTTAGGGAAATCTCATAGGAATACAACAAAGAAAAGAATAGGGAAATTTCCACACGGGTATATATATATATGTATATAGATCAAAATATTTATAAATTGTTTATGCATTAAAAGTTATATTGTGGTAAATGCATTGAGAAATATGTGGATTCTACGTAGACACTTCCATATAGATTTCAATACGTATAATCCATGTGGATCAATTACTGATGAAATTTAACGGAAATAAAAATAGGAAATAGCAACGTTGAATTCACGTGGATATAAATTAACATCGATTTTCACTCTATGCAATCCACGTGGATTATATGTATTGAAATCTATATGGAAGTGTCTACGTAGAATCTATGTGGATATTATGTAAATAAATTTTTAATCCACGTAGTCCACGTAAAACACGTAGATTCCATGTGGATACTACATGTGTTCTCATCGGGTAGGAGCTGAGTCTCATCTCTTAGACGAATGGTTTATTCTTTAGCTTGAAAATATGTTAATTTTTGCATATGATCGAATAGATCACTATTGGAAAAATATCTTTGATATAAAAAATTTAATAGGAGAATGTTACGTCCGGAGGACTCCACGATTCTTTTCTTTCGTGGAACGTTAGATAGATAATAAGCATATTAACGAAACTACGTGTATTAAGGAGTACGAGGAAACCTAAATAAATAATATCGTTTCTTCCTGCTTCTTACTTCAAATTTTAAGAGAAACGGGTGAGCAGATATCGACAACTATTAAATGATTAAAGAAAATTTTTCTCGTTAACAAATTTAGCTACCAGACGCTACAGCTGGCCGCGTCGCGAAGTTAAAAGACCAACCGCCACTCATAGATCCTATAAGAAGCTTATAGGTCAGCGTTCGATACTGCACACGCGTTTCCGGTTCAAGATAAAACAATTTAAATCTTTGACACATCAGCACACATTTGACCTAAATCATTCCTACTCCCAAAATTTGATTCTCGCAAACAAAGAAGGGCATATTGCCCTCCGCAAGTATAAATACAAGCCCTCCAAGATGCCCACCAGCAGTTCGATTTTGATTCTTCTGTTTGGTAGATCTATTTGATTCTTAAGTTCGAAGTTCACCACTTCAGACTCACTGTCCGGCACTTCGAGTTAAATTCTGATTCATAAGTCGGCAGTTCGCCAGTTTGACTGTCCGATAATTATCAATCTATTTTAATCTATAAATTTAGTTATTTGAACATTCAATTCCTTCGGAGTTTTCTTGGGGAGTAAAAACCATCAACCACCCGAAGCCACCCACGAATTGTGTCCACCTGGGCTCTGACCTCCAAGGGACTCCACTGTCAGTTCTTATAAATCCAGTTAAAGGTAGAGAATTAAATCATTTTTTAATTTTATTTCTCTCGACTATCTACAATATATCTCTCTTTTCCTTTCTTTTTACTCACGATTCATTCTTTATCCTTATACTTTCTGAATTGCTTCAGCGTCTAACGCCTCAAGCGATTCTCTTTCTTTATTCTTTATACTTTCTAAATTGCTTCAGCGTCTGACGCCTCAAGCGATTCACTCTTTCATTCTTTCTTTTCTTCTATTCTCTCTCTCTCTCTCTCTCTCTCTCTCTCTCTCCCTCCTTGGATTCTTCTTTTCCTGCTTAAATTTCCCTAACGAGAGAAATTGTCCCGTAGATGGTTTGGAATAACAAACATCGCGCGGGACGTAGGAAGCGAGGAAAGATCGAAGCTTCGCGCCGGCTGGGAATTTCAGCCATCAGAAAAACCCAAACAGGAACCTTCCTTGGCGAGGCAGCTCACCAAGAATTAATAAAACCACAGCAACAATTTATTTATTACAAAAAACAGATATCACCAACAACGACCAGCGCTATACCGGTAGTAGATTTGACCGGTGATGAGACTTCTCCCTCTTTTGAAACAATTTCACACTCTTTCCCTCCTCTTACCCCAATTTCATATTCCCCCGTTCCGTTTGAAGCAGATATCTCTAATAATGAGTTATACCTTAAATTAGAGAAATATCTCAATGCCCAATCTGCCTTCCCCTCACCAGAACCATCTACATACATACACATGCAAGCCGTATCTTACAATTAAAAACGCTTATAAATATTAGAGTAATTCATAGAAATGTTAAGAGATAATATTTAATACTTAATAATATAGAAATATTAGGATAGTTAATAATGTTTAAGCATTGATATTCGCTAATATCTATTAGATATACCAACATGGTTTTAATGTATTAAAAATTTTATATATTAAATTAGAACTAATTATAGATCGTATAATTTGCATTAATTACTAATTTTAACATATTTTGCTCTTATTGGTCGATCAACTAATGGTTCGTTTTTAAATTATTCGAGCGATAATTATTATTGTTTTAAGCATTCATATTAAAGAATACGATGCATTAAAAATAAAAATCTTATCTTACGTTTATATATAAATTCCTATAATTTATTCAGAACTTCCCTCGACACATTCCTCATCCCACTAAGTCGCATGGTCCGATCCCTGATCAAAAGGATTAAGTTCCTTGATCTAAAAGGGGACCGACGGAGACACAGTCGCAGGGCCGGGTAATAGTGTCGTTGACCCATATCTGTGATCTTATTGCGTCTCTGACTTGTGGCACGCGTCTTGAAGCGATTGCCACAAGAGCGGTGTCAGTTGCGTCCTCCCATGCTCCCTCCTCAATTCCTAAATTTTCCTATGTAATAAAGAATCCTAGGGCTTGGACGTAACAAGAATGTAACAATGATATTTTAGGGGGCTATTTAGGAGTCAGCTCGGTAAGAAGAGCGCAAACATTAAATTCTAAAATCAGGATTCGCGGTAATGTCTCCGGCCATGTTCAAAAACTGAGATGAGACACTACAAGTCTCTTATCTCGAGCCACCAAAGTCCATTTTTGGGAAGTGCATGACTACTAAAATGTAAAAAATTTTGAATCGAATGTTATATATGTGTCCTGAAAGGCGGCATCGCTACGAATTAATTTGAGCTAAAAAAATTTTAAATCGCTCAACCCGTTCTGGATATACAAGCGGTTGAAAAGTGATTTTAATGAAAAATTAAAGGCCTCCCTACACGGTCAGTAATACTGAGTTAGGGTGCTGTCCCATGATACGGAAATTACACCGGAACGGAACAGTGAGACCAATCACAATCGCAGAAAGGAAAGTAGAGTAATGATTGCAGAGATCTGATTGGTCTCACTGTTCCGTTCCGGTGTAATTTCCGTATCATGGGACAGCACCCTAAAGAGTCCCTATACTAAGAGTCTGGCCAAGGTTGTCATCCAGCCTACTGGTTTCGACAAAATATGGCAGAGCCAATGAAATGTCTCGATTTAATATCTTGGACGCGGTATCATTCAACTAGTAAGAATCATAGAAAGAATCCCTGCTTAAAATTTTCTATAAAAAAACTATATATTTTCTATAACAAACATATAGAGTTTGTATAGGTATTTTAGTTTTTAATAGTTTGTTATAGCCCGAATGGCTATCACTTATTTTATCAATTATTTTATTTCAACCGGCATAGCAACCGGCACCGGAAATGCAAGTCTGCACATTTTTTAAACCGCGCACGACAAAGCGTCGATCTAAGATCGCAGCGCGCGAAATACCTAAATGCACTCGGCATGGCTAGTGACCCTCTAATAAGAGTCTGGACACGTGAAGTCCGCCATTATTCGTCGAAATTGTGCGAGAGAGAAAAAAATCATGCTATCTCATTCTAGTGGCGCTGTAAGTTGTAGCTGATTGTAGCTCTACGAACTTCATAGTTTCTGTTTCTGTTTCGTCTCGCCTCATGCATCGTATCATTTTTAAGACCAGGACCATTAATATTCGAAGAAGAAGAAGAATCATTATGATTAATATTATTATATTATTATATTATATTATTATATTAT